TGGGTCTACTCTGAGTATAAGTTAGTTGGATACTACCTAGTCTCTTTGTGACAATGTATACCCTGTTCTAAAACTTGAATCTTGAATAGTTTCTTCATTATCAAAATGTGAAACCAGGTTTGTTATAGACCTCTCAATCAGATCAGAAAAACTGATATCTCCTGTCTCCTCCATGCGTGAATTACAGTTTTAGGCTTATGTAATAGGAACCAGAAGCAAGCAAGTAATCATAGGCATTGGGATTGGCACAATTAGGGTGCAGAGGGGTTGATTTAGGCCTCAGGTGCCCTTGGATACACACACACACACACACACACACACAGTGGTGAAAGAGACGGAAACAGGACTGGATAACCTTTCTTTTCACAGCTACCAGCTCCATCTATAAACATAATATTCTGTGTACAAAAGGCACATTGGATACATTAAGAGTTGGACTAAGAGAGAGAGAAGCAGGAGGAAGAATAGGTGATGGCAGAAGAGATTAGGAGGATAATGCTGGCACTGCTGGTGCCACCAAAAAGAGGATTGACTGTGTCCAAGAAACACAGAAATGTGAAAGAAATTAAAATTTGTCTCCTGAGTATTAGCCAAGATATGTTTTTTTTTATTCACAGTAGCATGCATTGGTTTTAGCATGTGGAAATTTCATAGTTGTCTCTGAAGAACGATAAGTTGCAAAAAGAGAGAGAGAGAGAGAGAGAGAGAGAGAGAGGGAGAGAGAGAGAAAAGCCTTGAAATATCACTTTTTAAAAATCCCAAGCCAGTGTTTCCTGGCCTGGGTGGCATTGACCATATTGGCATTCATCACATTCCCTAGCTACAAAATGCAGTCTTCTGTGTGGTGGTTCTCAGGTTTATCAAATGTGCCACATGAAGGACATTAGAACTTCAAGACAAAATAGCTTTTCCTTTGTTCATGCAGAACCTTGATGAATTGTGTTTTCTCTAAGATAATATTTGCAGAAGTCATTTGGAAAAACCCTGCTTTACACTAAGTGCCAAAACAAACAATGAGTTGCTGGCAAGCCCTTGTGTATGTGTCGGCTTCATGACCTTCAGTCTGGTGAGAAGGGAGAGATTTATACAAAGAATACATCCGTTCTGACATACACAGATATCACAGATTGCCCTGAAATGCATTGTCTACAATGCTGGTTGTGACGTTTTTCTTGCAGAAAATGTCTGATTAAAAACATTTTGAAAACAAATCATGCAGTCAAAATGAAGAATGGTAAAGGACAAAGCGGTAGCAATGCCGCTAAGTGGAACCAATGAACTTTAGCATGACAATAACTCTTTGAACTTGGCAATGATTCAAAAACAGACAGCCATATTAATATGGGGTGCGTTCTGTCATTCTGGGCTGAGTTGGTCACAGCCTAGCAAGTGTGTGTGTGTGAGAGAGAGAGAGATGGGGGGAGGGACATGCCTGAACACACCTTATGACTATGGCGTAGGATGGATTTTGATCCTGTGTTTTAGTTCTGCTGTTAATGTGTGTGTGTGTGTGTGTGTGTGTGTGTGTGTGTTGGGGTGGGAGTTCACTCCTAAAGGGCTGTTGATAAGCTTTTGATAAGCTTGAAACACTGGGTAGTTGGTCAGAAAAGAGAATAATTGAGTATCTGTCAAAACACCATAAATCTCCAAACTCACCCAAAACCCAGTTTCTGCTCTCTACAGCATACGTCTATGTACATATATGGAACCACATTATTCAAGGAAAAATAGAAAAATAAATACATACATACATACAAAATATAATTTTTTTTTAAAAAAAAGGACACCAGTTATTTGTTTCTGTAATGCAGAATAGAAATTGCTATGAAAATATTCTCTTTGAAGATCAAATGCAAGGAATAAGAAATTACACAAAGACTGGAGGGAGGCTTGGGCTAAGCAAAAAGAAACACAATTAACTCTGCTTCATATAGAGAGCTGTTTACAAATGGTGTAGAGTTACCCACACCACATACAACTCACACTTCTGGTCTTGTTTCCAGACACATCCAAGAAGTAGGTTCCGAAATCTTTTCAGTTTACAATTACATTAGGGAAACTGTATCACTTGCCAATGCAAGTTATGTTCAACATGTACATGTAGTCAAGTGGGGGATAAATCATAAACAAACAAAATAAAATGGAGATATGCAAGTGTCAGAGTGACATGAAAGAACCTGGGACCTTTTGCATCCAAAGCATGTACTCTGCCACAGATCTACAGCCCTTTCTCATGTACACTCACTTGAGAAAGGATGAAAGGAGGGGTACAAATGAAACTTTTTGCTGTCCACTGGGAAAGTCTTCTTTCTTTACTGATTAACTGAAAATCTTAATTACTGTCTCTGAGACACCTATCAATCGCCCTTCTGATTTTAAAACTATGCAATTGTGTTTTAAGCTCGCTGTCATTTAGGGGCACATTGATTTGATGGATAACAGCCTCGTATCAAACGCTGGCTTAGAATTTTCCCTTTAAACTACACATTTGTTGGCTGAAAGCAGGCAACACTCCGATTTCTGTTCTATTACCGAGCTGTCACAATACATCACAGCTGCTCAACGCCATTAATATTGATGTTCTTACAACCTTAAGTACACATTATACCATCAGTGTTATAGCAGGGTAGGGAGGCAAAAATATTGGTGTTGCCGAAATGACAGAGTCCGCAACATCCATTATGACTTCCTCAAGTACCTGCTTCACCTTTAGCCCCCTGTGCATCCCAAAACCAGTTGTTAAGCATACAGCCTTTCGACTCGCAGGGTAGCTATTTCTGTTATAAATGCTTGTGTTAACATCTGTATTCTTGACAAGGAGCAAATAATATAGCTCCTTCAACACCCTTGGGAAAACTTCCTTTACAAAACTGGCAGTTTGGGGGCAATTTAGACCATAAAAAAAGGCCAGCCAAATCCCAAAAGCTGCTCTGTGGAATATTACAAATCAAAGCAAAACATTGTATAGGCCTAAAACTAATGTTCAGAAGACAATGGTTTCTCACAGAGGCATTATTAACAGCTGGCTCCTGGAAGTCATGAATAAAGCACATGTTTAAACAAATAGTGTTCTCCTCAACAGAGTCCATTAAATTATGCCAGCCACCTTAATCTCCTCAGTCACATGTAAAATTAAAAAAAATGTTCCTTTGTTGAGACTTTGTATGTTTCCAATGTATCACGCTGCTTAATGCTACCAGAAGAAATAATTGCATTACAGATGTAATCTCTTTCTCTATTTTTTACATCACAGGCGGCTTTAACTACTACAACAACAACAACATAACCAAAAACAACAACAATGACTGAAAATAATTGTGCTACAGACACAGACCAAAAAAACCTTCTTACATGCTACATTTAAAACTTAGAAATGCAATATTCTGGTTAATTTGGTGTGGCATCCCATGTTTAAAAATTGCCAGCATCCATAAATGGAAAAGCTGCTGTATAGGTGACAATATAAATATGTGACATTTGGAATGCTGAACTCCACCACCACCCTTTTGCTAGGTAGAATAAAGTAAGAATCAAAAGGGAAAGTATTGCAGGAAAGTGAACCAATACAGTATTTGGAGGTCAATACATTGTGAATGATTACAACATAATTTTGTGTTCCATCTCACTCTAACCACCTAAAATAGTTATGAAAGGCAGATGAAAGACAGGAAGGAAGGAAGGAAGGAAGATCAGGACTTTTTTCAGCCAGAACTCGCTGTAACTCAGTTCCAGCACCTCTCAAGTGGGAACCATTGCCATTATAAGAAAACAAGGGAGGCATTCATGGTGAGTTGCGGCACCTCTTTTTCTAGAAAAATAGCATTGATAGTAATTATAATTTGTTTGGAAGCAATACAGCAACTTGCATTCCTTAAGTGATAAGTATATTGAGAATTATCAATAAACAGGACATACAAATTTATACAGATGCCCAGCAGGGCCTTTCTACCTCTGTTTACTATGGTAAATAAATAATCAGCAATTCATGCCTGCGTTAATGGTAAGGTGACTAGTCTTGTGCCCAGATGAACCGGCAATGGCTCCGAATACAAAAGCATCAGCCAAAGACCAGGATATGTTGTTCATGATGAAGATAATACTGGATATATGTTGACAAGCCCAGAGGTATCCAGTGACTAATGACCAATTCTTAGTTTGTTTGTTTTTGGACTTGAGCATGCATATCTCTTTACAAACCACATCCATAGTTTCCTGAGTCTAGGGGGAAGGTACATGTGGAATCAGACATCTCTTAAGAAGAAGATGATACACCCTTGAAATGTTAGTCAAGAAAGGAACGCCATTTCAGAGATTATTTTGAAAGAGAGAAATGGTACTCGCAGCAGTTTGTAATACAATGGTGGAGAATAAATACATATTGTGTTCAAGTACGTGTCTCTGTGTAGATACAGATATATAAACACACAAAGTACAAAAAGTAAAATGAAAACAAGCCCTCATTTGGTGTGGCATGACTGCTTGTTCTGCTTGAACTCTGATACAAAATAGTGATTCTGCTACTCTGCCAGCAATGTTCTGCTACAGCAGGGGTGGAGAATTCCCAGCACATGAGCCAAATGTAGTCCCTGGGTCTCCACATTTAGCCTGTAATTAGGGTTCAAAAAAAGCCTTCTATTAGAGCCAGGTTAATCTTCCATTGCCTATGTGTTAACAAAAAACTGAAAATGTTCCCATGCTGAAGTTAGACTTGAAAATAAACCATTCTGTTAACTTGAATAGAAGACTTTTTTCAAGACCAACTGCAGTGTGCCGTAGCACTTTCGGATGGGGTGTCAGTTTTTGCAATCTTCATGGACCTGCAAGAACAAAAGGGTGTTCAAACACCTGACAGGCCACAATATATGCTTGCTGGATTGTTTGGCTTGCTGGGCACAGAATCATGCTACACAAGAGAGTGATTGACCTGAACATAGGCAGAGAATGAATGAATGAAAATAAAAGAAAGGGAGAGGGGGGAAAAAGTTCCTTCTTGTACTTACAGGGTCCGTGAGCTCTGGCAAGCTAGCCTGGTAAGTGAGCGGCCGACAATCCCGAGTGTTAACAACTAATACGCATGGAAGGAACATTGGTCCAAGGTCATCCCCATCAAGGACATCAACAGTAAGGGTGGTTGTACTTGTTCGTCTTTCCATAAGGTTTTGAGCTCGGTCCTGTGGAGAAAATAAGGATTTAACCCGACAATAAAAGTCTTGGTATCACTGCATATAATAGTGTGAAATTCGAAACTGCAAGCTGTAAACATGTTGCAAAGACAGGTGGAAGTGAACATTGCACTCCCTGACCCCACAAAGCTCTAATATGGGACCACTACTAACCAAGAGGGGTTCTGTGTGAGAAAGTGAGTGAGTGAGTGAGTGAGTGTGCTTATCAGCCTTTTTTTTTATCTCAAGAGGCAAATATGCTTTAGGTAGCCTTGTTCCCTAAAGAAAGACTTCCTTGATTTCACTATTTTATATCTTAGTATCATATTTTGTACCCTACCATCCTCTCTTTCCTTCCTCTGTCCTTTTCTATGTATCTTCTTCCCTTCCTCCCAACAACCCCATTTTTGACCTTCCTTTATACCTCTATTCCATGACACATCTTTCTTTTCTACAGAAATTATTTTCCTCAAACCCTTCCTCCTTCCTTGGACTCCAAATCATCACACTTCTTTTGTGCTGTTTTGGGGTCAGGGGGCTTGTCTCAGAAGTAAAGCAAGTTATCCAATATCAGCAAAGAAATCTGATATTAGCCATGTGTGTGAGGGAGAAAACATTCAAATGGAAGCCCCCCTCCCATCTAGCAATATTTGGGGAAACAGATTACGTGATAAAATCTTCTTTCTGGCAAATTTGGAACTGATAAGCATTGTTTTCCCACACATCACAACAAAGGATTTTAATCCCCTCTATCTCCAATGAGAAAGTTGTATGGTTTTAATTATAGAATCACTTATCAGCACAGCACACCAGTATGTGTTCTATATATTCTGCTTACTGACAGAAGAATTCATAAATTCTCTTTGTTGCTTTTCTAGTAGGAATAAAGTAGTCTGTAGAAAAAGAATTAAGTCAGACTATTCTTATTCAAAACAGTAGCAACATTATCACATCACAAAGATTTTTAATTTTGTATTCGCATGCCATTCCTGCTTTTCAGCCATTTCATGATGGAGGGTCTGGGGTAGAACATTGCTAATGCCTTGCTTTTGGTGATCAAACTGTTCAGGACAAGGCAATCTGCTTAGCAGGATACAACCCACTGTATTACTATATGTACATTTGTTGAGCTGGTCAACTAAATAGAAAGCGCAATGTCTCCAGGAAAATAAATTAAAAACTGATATTGAAGATGTGGCCTTGGGGAAAGTTTGAACTTGCAATCTTAGATGATAAACCCAGGAGTTTGGTGGAAAGAGAAGGCTGATACTGTGCAAGAAGGAGGAGAAAATGGTGGCAGGATTACATTGCACCCAGAAGAGGCAAGGTTGTGTCAAGATCTGAAAGGAAGGAAGGAAATCAGGTGGAAGCAAGTAAAGAAGAAGAGAAGTTTTGCAACAAGGGCAATATGCAGCTAAGACTGGAACTTAAGACTGAAGTCCATGGCCACACTACCCAGGGAGTCCTGAAATGGCTACCCAGAGAATAACTGATAATGGAGAAAGCAGCAAACAGGTCCAGCATCAGCACCTAGGCTGGCGTAGGGATGCTTGGACTCACTGAAGCATCACTTTGATCACTCCAGCATCTCCTGCAATGATTTTGCAAAGTTTTTTGCAGATAAAATCGCTCAGATTCGGGAAGAAGTAGACTCCACCGTGGGAGCAGGGCCGGGGCAGGAGAGTGCTAGAGTTCTGTCTAGTCAAGTTGAGTGGGATCAATTCCAATCTGTTACCTCCGAGGATGTGGACAGGCTGCTTGGACGAGTGAAACCAACCACCTGTCTCCTGGATCCTTGCCCATCCTGGCTTATAAAAGCTAGCCGGGAAGGACTGGGCGATGGGCTTCGTGGGGTGGTGAATGCTTCCCTCCGTGAGGGAGCCTTCCCAGACCCGCTGAAAGAGGCGGTTATTAAACCGCTTCTTAAAAAACCATCTTTAGATGCGGCCACGATGGCCAACTATCGCCCAGTCTCAAATCTTCCATTCTTGGGCAAGGTGATTGAGCGAGCGGTTGCCGAACAACTCCAGGCACGCCTGGAAGAAGCGGACCATTTGGATCCCTTCCAGTCGGGATTCAGGCCTCATCATGGGACTGAAACTGCCTTGGTCGCACTGGTTGATGATCTCCAGCGGGCTAGGGACAAAGGTGAGAGCTGTTTCCTAGTTCTGCTGGATCTCTCAGCGGCGTTTGATACCATCAACCATAACATCCTTCTGGACCGTCTTCAGGGGCTGGGAGCTGGAGGCACTGTTATACAGTGGTTCCGCTCCTTCCTACTGGGCCGTGTTCAGAAAGTGGTGGTGGGGTTCAGAAAGTCACTTGTGGGGTGCCTCAGGGTTCTGTCCTCTCCCCCATGCTTTTCAACATTTACATGCAGCCGCTGGGAGAGATCATCAGGAGGTTTGGGCTGGGTGTTCATCAGTATGCAGATGATACCCAGCTCTACCTCTCTTTTAAATCAGAACCAGTGAGGGCGGTGAAGGTCCTGTGTGAGTGTCTGGAGGCAGTTGGAGGATGGATGGCGGCTAACAGATTGAGGTTGAATCCTGACAAGACAGAAGTACTGTTTTGGGGGACAGGAGGCGGGCAGGTGTGGAGGATTCCCTGGTCCTGAATGGGGTAACAGTGCCCCTGAAGGACCAGGTGCGCAGCCTGGGAGTCATTTTGGACTCACAGCTGTCCATGGAGGCACAGGTCAAATCTGTGTCCAGGGCAGCTGTTTACCAGCTCCATCTGGTACGTAGGCTGAGACCCTACCTGCCTGCGGACTGTCTCGCCAGAGTGGTGCATGCTCTGGCTATCTCCCACTTGGACTACTGCAATGCACTCTACGTGGGGCTACCTTTGAAGGTGACTCGGAAACTACAACTAATCCAGAATGCGGCAGCTAGACTGGTGACTGGGGGTGGCCGCCGAGACCATATAACACCGGTCTTGAAAGACCTACATTGGCTCCCAGTACGTTTCCGAGCACAATTCAAAGTGTTGGTGCTGACCTTTAAAGCCCTAAACGGCCTCGGTCCAGTATACCTGAAGGAGCGTCTTCACCCCCATCATTCTGCCTGGACGCTGAGGTCCAGCGCCGAGGGCCTTCTGGCGGTTCCCTCATTGCGAGAAGCAAAGCTACAGGGAACCAGGCAGAGGGCCTTCTCGGTAGTGGCACCCGCCCTGTGGAACGCCCTTCCAGCAGATGTCAAAGCGATAAACAACTACCTGACATTCAGAAGACATCTTAAGGCAGCCCTGTTCAGGGAAGTTTTTAACGTGTGATATTTTACTGTATTTTTGGTTTTTATGGAAGCCGCCCAGAGTGGCTGGGGAGGCCCAGCCAGATGGGCGGGGTATAAATAATAAATTATTATTATTATTATTATTATTATTATTATTATTATTATTATTATTTTCTTTGCCTTCATCTTTTGAGAAAACATTCAAAAGACAGCTGGTAGCCATCAGGGATTATGCATAGTTACAGGTGCTCATTTTGTTGTTGTCTTTACTTTAAAAGTACATTACTGTTTTCTACAACGGAATAGTGCTTATTCGCAAATGAATGTGTTTTGCATCAGAATAGTTGAAGTAAACATCATCTTAGTCCTATAATAATCATTACGGCATTATGATTTAAGGTAGTTTAAAATGGAAAAAAAAACTTCACATACTCAGAGGGGCGCATTTTTCAAAACCAGGGATGGAAACTTTTTTGTTTCTTCATTTTGTTCTACTGTATCAGGAATGTATAGAAAGCGCAGAAAGGCAGTGTTGGCAGGAAGAAGAGAAATAACTGAAGGAACAGACATGGGAGTCTAAAGCGGGGTCCCCCAAAAGGCTATGGAGTCCAGGATCTAAAATTACCTATCTTGAACTCCTTGAATGTTGAGCACATTAAGAAACAATAACAACAAGGGCAGTTACACTGATGTTTTGGCAAGAACTCAGAAGTGGTTCAGAAGTGTCCCTGCTTCTGCCTCGGAGTCTGAACTGTGCTCTGCTGCAGACTCTTCCTGTTCACAAAACCCCATCACCTATTCTGCTTCTGACACTTCCTCCTCCCAGTCTGTTCCCTTTACCTCTAACCATTCATTGTTGTCCCACCACCATCCCCCAGGCTCTGAGTTTTCTTCGCTTGGAGGTCACCTGGCTAATACCTCCCACGACCCCTCTGCATCCAGCTAGTCCATGGCACGCTTGCTTTGACAAAATGTCATTATAACCCCCTAGCAAACCTATGAGGATGACTGCTCAATAAACGTGTTGTCTGGAAGCACCCTCAATGAAATATGGCACAAGAATGGATGGAATTCAGGACTCCTTTTAAGCAGATTTATAATTATGCAAGTAACTTGCATAATTCTGCAATGAATGGAAACTTTGCCAGCTCTGGTTACAAAGACAACATCAACAGTAAAGCTGATTCAAAGTAAAGCTTTCCAACCGGTATACTCTGTACAATGTAGGCATCACTTTATTTCTCAGCTTGAAATATCTGTTACATAACATGTCAGGAAAATGCTTCACCCCCCCCCCCTATTTGATATACACAACTGGAGGTGAAAGAAAAAGCACCTTCAAAAGATTGCATTTCAGAGCTGAAGGATGCAGTTAAACTGCAGCCATTAAATTAATTTCACAGCAAATTAGTATTGCTAGCTGCAACAGAACAGTAAAACTCATTGACACTACAATGCATCATTCTATACCTTCCCAGACTAAAAAGGCTCTGTTTCGCAACTGAACACCAACACCTTTATAACCAGTAAATATGTGAAAGATTGTGTTACATGGCAGCAGGAACATAGGGCTGATTCTCATGCATTCAAGTCATTTGATATCTTATCAACAGATGATGATCACTTGTGATCACTTGAGGATTGCAAAATAATTTGCTGACTTACAGTAAAATGCAAGGTCTGCTTGCAGCATCTAATCTACAATGGTTCATTCAAATACAATGCTGCAGGAATCAAATGATGGATATTCATGGGTGAATTCCCTCTTGAATTAAAATGTCATGTGCTGATAATGACAATTTAAATGCCCATCAGATACAATATGAAGATACAGTTTCTATTCTCCCTTAAAAACAGTTATATTCGCAATGGACACCAAAAATTACAAGTCAGTCATACTCACATTGGCTTGGACAATGACAAAATAGCGTGTTTTTTCTTCGTAATTTAGCCTCTCACGCAAAACTACTGCTCCAGACAGTGTAAGAGGAATATCAAAAGTTCGATTTGAAGTCTGCCAAAATTAAATGAAGAAAAGAGAAATATAGGTCACAGGAGAAAAAATGATGTAATCAAATTAGGAAGATCCATCAGTGGCAACTGACAACAACACTTCCTTTTCTTCAGTGAGCAATCAGTTCACTTTGCCCTCACATCCTTCCCCATAGACCTAATGAATTTCCACAGAAGAAAGACCCTTGGCATAATGACAGTGTAGAGTCACATTTATTCCAATTAAAGAAAGAAAAAAATGCCACCAAGAAAAAAGAACATATCTTTCAACAATAAAAGCCTAATTAAAACATTTCAGACTAGATAGGAACAGACGATGATATCCAACTGGATGATGCAAAGAGTAGACCCACTGAAATTAGTAACTACAAGTCCATTGATTCTGGTGGGTCCAGTGGCGTAGCATGGGGGGTGCAGGGGGTGCTGGCCGCACCGGGCGCAACATCTGGGGTTAGGGCAAATCCACAGGTTAGGGGGCGCAAATCCATGGGTTAGGGGGCGCAAATTACTTGCCTTGCCCCGGGTTCTGACAACCCACGCTACGCCACTGGGTGGGTCTACTCTGACTATAACTGACATTGTATATCTCCCAGTTTCTGGTTGAAGCAAAGGAGAGCAAGTGATGTGATTGCAAATGGGACCTAAAACTGACACAACCAACCATGAGGTTCTTGGAGATTTGGAACTTGTTCACATGACCAGGCTGCATTTGTGTGCTTCTGGTGACTGTTGAAAACCAAGGCAAACGGGTTGCCTGGTTTCTTAATGGGCCCAGAAATACTGTAAAATCAGCACTATTCTTGCTGTAAATTTCCTGTGGTTATGTGGCCCTCACAACCACAATCACCTGTGGTTGGAAGCTTGCATAAATGGACCCAGGGAGGGGAGTTCTCCCCATGCAGATGGGTCCTTGAATGAGGGGCCAGCATGTGTCACAACACCCTGTCACACACACGTGTACATAATTTGCATAGAACTGCAGTCTGATGAAGTAGAGGTAAAATTCTGGACTCTCCTCTGTTGAAGAATTAACACAAGCTTTTAGGCAAATCAACAGGCCTTCTCCCATGGTTTTATCTTTATTCTTCTTCATGGGGGTGCATTTGTACAAAGAGGTAACCATGGAAGGATCTTAGGAATGATTTCTCACCCCACTGTGACATTTCTATGCTTTAAAAAAAATACCAGACAAGTGTATAAGCTCAATTGACTTTCGGTGAAGCCGTGAAATGACCACATTGCCCTGCTGAAAGTGCTCACCAGGAGCACAGCACTTTAGTTTATAATTTGCCTAAAAGGTTGTGCAACCTAAAATCATTAGAAGGTATGGTAATTGTGATCAAGTTACTTTTGAGCACTGATACCAGTTAAATTTAAACTGGAATGAATCATTTGGATAGCCAAGGATTCCTCGAACTGCTATGTACTGATTCAGATAGCTGCAAGTGATGGAAGACTTTACACGATGGAGCATAAGTGTGTGGGGGCACAGAGTGCTACAGATCTAATGTATGTTGTGGACACTCCACCTACAGATATGGAAGCCACTCTGTTTGAAGCTACTTCCTTCACAGCTAAGACAAAAAAGAGTGCCAGTGCCATAATTTGCCTGTTGTGGAGATGTGACCATATCACTTCTTCACCATATCAGGCCTATAACAACGAATAAACATCTGAAGTGAATGTCATTTTTTTTCTAAAGACCAAAGATGTTCAGGAGATAGAAGAAATATTGAAAAGCAAGGATTTTTAAAGCACAAAGCAACAACTTGTAAACCTATGTTTGGGCAGATCCACTTTAGCCTGCAGCTGATTTAATTTTCTTTCATTTTAAAATATATTCTATGCACATAGCCTTCACTTTGACATAGTAATATTCTACATATAATAACCTCTTTTTAAACATAGCAAGGGGAACATTCCATCTCATGAGCCCACATGGGCAGTCTGAAATGGCATACTTTAGCAAGACACGGACTTACCAACATCATCCGCAGCTTGTGAGAACTAGGTCCATATCTTGCTGAATATTAAGCCTTGCATAGCAGTATTTTCTCCATCTCCCCCAACACCCTTGGCAAAGTTTCATGGAGCAACACAACACATTGTTTTCCCATGCTTTTGCCTAATAGTGCAGTAACAGTGAGTGCAATTATTTTAATCCAACAAAAGGTGTGCCAATCATTCTCCTGATCAATTTTCTTGAACACTGATTCTATAACTTTCTAGAATACAAACCATTCACATCTCAGCTTTTTGTATGATCTCAGTCACAATGCAGTCTCTACTATTACCTTGGAATAATAAAGCAACCTACAAATGATAGCAATCATCCCTCCTCTTCTCATCAAAATGTACTTATTTTAACCTGAGTTTTATTATTATAGTCTTACTGCCACTGATAATTTAGAGCCTTTGCATAGCAATAATAATCCAATTTTTTTTTTAAAAAAAAGCTCATTTTGTCTAAAATGAAGTATTTTAGATATATATCACAGGTAAAAGTTTTCTGTGAATAAAATTGTGTTTAATTCTGCAGTAAAATATTTCCTCCAAAAATGGGCAGTCTAAAATATCATGACACTATTTCGACCTGCCCACTAGGAAACCTTTTCAAAAATCCTATCAACTAAATGCATCTGAATTAAACTTACATAAACTCACTGGTTTGAAATTTTTGTAAGTTAAAAAAGAACAGAATGCAAAGCCCAGTTTTAAGAATGATATACTGTATTTTTTGCACCATAGGACGCACTTTTTCCCTCCTAAAAAGCAAGGGAAAATGTGTGTGCGTCCTATGGAGCGAATGCAGGGGGAGGCAGGCGGGAAAAGCCCCCAAGAGCCGCACACAAGCTCCGTGCACTCTTGCGGGCTTTTCCACAGGAGGGAGAAGGGACTGACTGGCCGCATCAGTCCCTTCTCCCACCTCCCAGAAAAGCCAGGAGAAGCCGCGATCTCTTTAAAGGGGTTGCGTGGCTTCTGCGGGCTTTTGCAAGAGGTGAGGGAATCCCCCCACCTCCCAGGAAAGCCAGGAAAGCCCTGCGCAGCGTCTCCCGGCAAGGAGAGGCTGCACGGGGCTAAAGGAGAAGCCAAAACAGCGAGCGGGATCCATCCCGCCCCCTGCCTTGGCTTGCTCCATAGTTGCGCGCAACCCCTCCGGCAAAGAGAGGCTGCACGGGGCTATGGATTCTTTAGCCCTGCGCAGCGCCTCCCGGCAAGGATTTTTTTCTTGATTTCCCCCCCTAAAAACTGGGTGCGCCCTATGGTCCAGTGCGCCCTATGGTGCGAAAAATACGGTAAAATGCACTGATAAGTAGATGTACTACTATGTTTTCTATTTAGTGCTGCAAATGAAAGTGCCATTTTATTAATACCATAACTCTATGCTATACTTAGGACCAGTTCACACAGATCATGTTAAACGTTCAATCATCACCACTGGAACTAGGGAGATCACACAGTCCTCCCCTACACAAGTAGATCCTTTAGTGAGTTGGGACCTGAGCATGTAAAATGCCTACATCAGTGAACCCCACTCACTGAATCCCGACCCTTGTTCACAGTGGATGGATCAAATGAGTGGCCAAAATTCATGACTCTAGTTCACACTAAGCATTCTACATGTGGTGCCTTCCCATGTCATCCTAAAAGTACATTCTACATGTGGCATAATGGAGGATAAAGTTCCATACTCATATGCCCTTCTTGGGTCCACACACATAATTGCCTACACAAGTAGTTCCAGTTGCCATGACCTATTTTTCCAGGGAATTGATATGAGCTGAGCATTATGCATTCAGTTGTATTTACACCTTCAGGACTGGTTCTTGAACATCCAGCAGGGGCATAAGTGTGGGAAGAAGCAGCACATGGGATTCTAGAACTCCACCAGCAGAATCAAGGAAGGGTTTGTTTGTTTTTAATGGCTCATTCTCTCTAAAGAACTTCCACACATTTTTTGTCAGGTTTTACTTGTATGCATAATCTGTTCTACATGTGTATGATTAAAATATCTCCCTCTGCCCCCGCCAAAAAGAATCACTCTCAAATAGCTTAAAAATTAATAATGCCAGGTTTCTTGAAGAAATGATTTTGGGCTCATAAATCTGTGTGTGATACAAATCCCTTTCCCAAATCCCACATGCAAAGGAAAGTCCAGTTCATCCCTCCCCAGGATGCTATCTCCATGACAAATATACCTGTGCCCAGCACCACACACATCAAATCAATCTTGGGTTCAAAGTGCCTTATGAGAAAATGTTACCAAAAAAATAAATAAAAAAAAATTCAAAGATTTAAGAAAACTTAACAAGGGCAAATTCTGTTAAAGATAAACTGAGAGTGCCTTTGTATCTTATTTTCATTCTTCCAACAACACATGTTTACTGAAAATAAGAATTTCACATACTGGGTCGCTGGGATTGTACTGGATGACGTACTCTATCTGTCCATTGGGACCATCATCTATGTCTGTGGCACCATTGTTTCCAGAGAATCCTGTAAAGATGGTAGTTCCAACTGGTGTCAACTGCAACAACAAAAATGATGTGCACACTTAGGAACCCTTGAAAGACAGAAGAAGAAGAAGAAGAAATCCAAATAATGGTTTCAAGTAAAAATGTAGTTCAATGATGTGCTGGCAATGCTATCCTGTCAGACAATGTTACTGGATGAATGTATTGTGTGCACAAGCATTTCAGCTTGCCAGATGGAACAATCTCCCTCTCCTTTCCCTGCATGCTGTTCTGGAGGTTCTCCTGACCCCAAAGAGCCAATTTTGGAGGAGTGGGGACACAGAAGGGAGGAGAGGGGAAGAAAGCTGCACTGTGCAAGCGGAAGTCCTTGCGCAGAGCTTCCACTGATGGGGCTCATTCAGCTAATCCCACTCATTATCCCTACTCCCAGTTCAATGTTCCTTTAAAAAACACCAACAACCCCTCAAGAGAAAATAGGGAGGCTAAGGGCACTTCGAGTGCTGATATTTTTAGGTAGGATTCAATCTCATACTGGCAAATTCACATTGTGCAATTAGTTAACTGAGAGCTCTTGTGCAACAAACCCACTTCCTCAAAAGTTTTGACCTTTTATTGCAATTAAGTGACAGGAAAATGCACTGGAAACTGAAGGATGCAACATCATCTGACCTCCCCACAAACAAATAAAATGGGATGTTTGTTAAATAGCCAACACCATCCCTATCCCTGCAAACAAATCAGGATGAATACTGAATAAACAGGCTGTCTGGAAGTGTCAATAGGCTTAATCACACACTGCAGTCCATGAATGGTTTGCACTCTAAAATTAAAGAAATACAGGTATGTGAGAGAGTGAGGCTAGTTACAAATGAGGAGAGGCAATTATAAGGCTGCAAAACGCTACTGACTGGTTGAGAGGAGTAGAGGCAAACAGCACAGTCCAGTGTGAGCTATACTGGCTCAGATGAGCAAGAGGAAATTGCACACCATGGCACTTTATACCATTTCAGGGAACAGTGAAATGCAAAAATTACAACACAGTCACATCCACACGTACATCAAAGTAACTACCACCATGTTCAGTGGGGCTCACTCCCCCTGGTAAGTGCATACAGGATTGTAAAGGCAGTCTCATTGTCACCTTCAACTTCTCTTGTTCACATGCCAGATATCATTTTGAGAGAAATATATGATGTTACAGTGTTTGTCTGAACAATTTTTAGCACTGTGGAGCTCTACTTCCTATCAAAATTTTAGTCGCTTCCACATTGAAGTTACTGCTAGTTGCAAGGATGAGGGGAAAACTTATTGGGCACTTCTAAGATTCAGAATCCACATGTAAATGCTACTCATGCTGATCCCTGTGCTGTTCAAACTATACGTGTATGGGTTTCACAACTTCGTGGAGCAATGCTATACGATTCTGCAGAAGATTATGCCTATCTTCTTTTCCTCCTTCTTTTCCAAGTACTGTCTTGGTTTATCGCTTAACCACCAAGTCACAAGTATTCAATCAGTTCCCATACAGACGTAGTACAGTGGTACCTCGGGTTACATACGCTTCAGGTTACATATGCTTCAGGTTACAGACTCCGCTAACCCAGAAATAGTACCTCGGGTTAAGAACTTTGCTTCAGGATGAGAAGAGAAATCATGCTCCAGCGGTGCAGCAGCAATGGGAGGCCCCATTAGCTAAAGTGGTGCTTCAGGTTAAGAACAGTTTCAGGTTAAGAACGGACCTCTGGAACGAATTAAGTATGTAACCAGAGGTACCACTGTATTATAAATTGGGGGGAGGGGAAGACTCCCCCAAAATATCTGGATTCAGTAAAGGGTTAGAAACTAAGGAAACCCCTAAATTCCTGGGTCTAGTAGGGGTTGGAGTTTAAACCAGTTTTTCCATGTCCAGGAAACCACCTGGCAGAAGAACCATCAAAAGGTAACCACTGGAATGGCTCACCGATTAACCCCCTAAGAAGGCCAAAGATGATGAGGTAAGCAAACAGGAAATAAGTGTCACTTTTGCAAGCTGGGGAGATAGGCAAGAACACAAGGTGGGCAGTCTGTTTTATGCTTCAGAGGTTGGACATGATGTGTGGGGTCTCTTTGAATCTAAGGCTGCAGCAATGGGAAGAACAGAACCCTCTTGGGATATGAATACTCTGCACTCTCTCCATCTAGACACAGGTTGCATATATGTGTAAATAAACCATTAACAATAAAGACACCACTGACTCTGCTGTGCCTCACTGTTCCAAAAGGAAACAAAGATCCTGTTAAGCATGTCTGGTACCCCTGGAATCTCAGACCGTTCAGAGATTGGAGTGCCATGTAGCACTATGCTTATTCAGAACTATGGTCATTAGAACGTTAACAAGACTTCATCATTCTGAATGCATTTGCCCGATATAAACATTCTAAAATTGATTTCAAAATTCTACCACTGAAATTCAACTGCCCATACTCTCTCTCTCTCGCTCCAATTTTTCAAAATCTGCTATTTTTCAAACTTATTGAAATATCAAGCCCACACTTTAATGTTAGTACCATTCCTACATCAAAAATCTGTTTCATCTCCGTCACACAACATACACTTGTGAGAATAGTTTTTACAACTCCCAGAAGCAAAACATGACACCCTGTCTTCTGATGGGAACAACTGCTGGTTCTTACTTCACTAGTGTAGCACTGCAGGAGTTATCTAGAGCATTACGGCACAACTCTTCATATTCTAGAATATGTTCTTCAGAAAATGAATGGCAAAGCTTAGTATTGATCAGAACCATTTGGTGAAGAAGTCCAATGAACATTGGAATATAGGAAGATGCATTATACTGATTCAAACCATTGGCCATCCAGCTTACTACTGTCTATATTATTATTATTATTATTATTATTATTATTATTATTATTACCACCACAACCACCAATACTACCCAGCAGCAGCTCTCCAGGATTTCAGATAGTGGGGTTTTTTTTACCACTGGGGTACAGTTCTCCCCAAGGGTCAAACTTTACATGGTTGCATTTAAACAATAAATGCCCTTATAAAAAGTACCACAAAAACATGAATAGGACCAGGGCCAAAATTAGCTCTTTAGAACTCGCTGACATCCTCTTGCCAATTGGCAACAATGGGAGCTTCCCTCAGGTGGTGGAGGGCGGGGTTGGCGCTTGGATCCTGGCTGAGGGGAAAGGAAGCGCCAATGTTCACAACTCACCAAAATGCTGAACTGCTTGTGTGTCAATGAAATGAATGGGGACTGCACAAGAGCACCATAGTGTTTTTCCTGGATGGCTTCTCTATTGATCAAGAGATTTTAGTTATATTGCATCTCTTCTGTTGCCATGGACTTCAGGGTGACCCGGGTTAATAATTTTAATTAATATGGTATTAGTTAAAAACAGCAAATTACTGTACCATATGGAAAGCATGTTGTGTGCCAATACAGCAATTAATCAAATTCGTGGGTAGAGAGAAAAGATACATGGCTTAGATTTATTTGTATTTAAATTATAAATGGCTCACTGAAGACTATAAAAATATAACTGATTGCAACAACTGATGAACACAACCCACAGCAACATGTACACATATTTTTCAAAAGGTTTTTTCCCATTTATCACACTTCTTGGATTCATTTATTTTTAAAGCAGTTTGTATTTTTACTGATTTTGTTTCAAAGGGGATTAAACAACCACGCACCCCACAAAAAATGTATTTGGCAGATACAATTATGAAATAATTGCCTGCATATGAGAGCCAGGATGGCAGAGCTGTTAGACTGTTTGCACTTGGAAGACTTGGATTCAAATGCTGGCTTGTTTGGGCCATGAAGTTTATTGGATTACTTAACTCAGTCACACTCTGTCTCAGCTTAAAAACACCCACACAAAAATCACTGAAAACCCACCCATGTTTATGGATGATGCTATACTGCTATGATTTTGAAAGCTGATATTGTTCCTTGGACAAGTTATGCTCCCAACCACTATTTTCAGAACAAACAAAAATATAGCTTAATAACAGAATCAGTTTGCTTGCAGAGAGCCTTTCGGAGAGATATGAATATGATGCATGGCTTATTTTTCAAGAAGCTAGTAGTCATTGCTTACACTTAGAGAATATTTTATTAGAGAATGTTATTTGCTTGCCACTGGCCTTTGGCAGAAGGAAAAAATGCACACTATCTGTTTTGGGTAAACAGAACACAGAGAGATAAGTTGACTGTGCCCCTCCCCATTTCTAAGTAATTGCTTTCATAATTCTCTCCCCATGGCAGTAAATATTGTATGATCAGTACACAAAACTCCTTGGTTTAAATATTGGATGCAGGAGAGTTTCAGAAGGATTTTAGATACTGATGTCAGTTGAAGATAAAAATACCAGATCTGCAAAAATGGATAATTATTTATTTTACTATTAAGGCTATTGGTCCATATAGTCTGAATTCTCTATCTCAAGCAGGTTCTGGATCCTATGGAAATCAGTCAAATATTGGAACAAGGTTTACCAAAAGGCTAATGATAGAAGCTCCTTACCAGATAGATAACCATGCTGCTTGGATTTTGTTTTTTGTATCAAAACAGTGCCCTTCTGAATGGCAGAAACTTGCTGCTAAGAGTGGATCAGGGATTAGAGAAACTGAAATTCAGGGGGCAAATATGGCCCTCCAGGCTTCTCTATTTGGTTCTTGGGACGCTTACTACACCACACCCATTCTCCCACAGGCCACACCCCTCATTTGCCCTGCTCCACACACACCTGAAGTCCTTTTACCTGGTTGTGTGCATGTGTGTGTGTTTGCATTTCCTTCTTAACTTTATTTTTCAGTTTCTAAAAATGCATATAGCCAACAATCACCATTATACTGCTACTCCAATAAGCATTCCCTGTATATACAATGCAAATAATACAATCCAATTTAGGTAAGTTTATCAATAGCTTAAAATCACTTACATCAGTTAGGTGGTTTTGTAGGGTTGCCATACATCTGGAATTTCCTGGACATAGCCAGGATTCAGTCGCAGCAAAGAGTGTCTGGGCGGAATT